TTGGGATCTAACCCTGGTGTCACTGGGGGAGAAGCACCAGGGGGTAGGTAAAGGGAAGGGGACAGGTAACCTGGTTGGAAAGGTTCGACGACATGTGGACTCGATGAAAGTTCGCTGTGACCTCCAAGAGATTTGCTCGCACGTTGTAGTGGATAATGTTCTTCATCGGAGGTACCTCCCGTGAAGTAGATGTTTGAATGACTTCCTGCAGCAGAAGGCGGACTGGTGCCAGTATAAGAGGCATAATAGGCACCACCAGTCTGTTGCTCTTCATTTGATTCGGGAGAATCGATAGCTGTCATGGTCTCGGAATACGTTGCCGTAGAGCGGGGTAAGGGACTCTTCCGGAGATATGGTGTCGCAGTAGCGCCGTTTGTTTCCATTTCCCGTTCAACATGCGGTCTGTTGGCTACATACGGGCTTACGGTATAATCTTGATTTTGGTCGAGCTGGGGGTCCCAGGTTCCTTGTGGTTGTTCTATTCTCTGACGGCGACGATGACGACGCCACCAGAAGCCTATTGCCAAGAAAGTCAGGATAAATATCGCGGCGGGGATGATTCCAAGCACAATCTTCAACACTCGGTTATTGCTCTTCGCGGGACTGCTATTCGATTGGCTTGTTTCTAGACCCGGACATGTTGTGTTGCTCGAGCCGAAGGTGAATACCGGTTTGGTTGACATCCCCCACGTTCCAGTCCTGTATAACCTTGTCAATGTTATGAATTGCGACTAGATAAGATCGACTGACGAATCGTACACAGACGCTGCCAAACAAGTATATGTTATTCATTTAATGTGTGACTCTGGTGAAAGAAAAGAAGGGGCCTACCTATGAGCTGCGTTCCAGGGGAAGCTCGATTAGGATATGTCAAGACACTGTTTCCCAATTGCATCGCGATTATTGTGACAACATCTGCGCCCAAGGCGGAGAGAACCACGGTATAGGGTTGTATCCCGTTGCTGATACGTAAGCCCCAAAGTTGGCAAGTTTCTAATCCGTTAGTCACATTGGAAGAAATCGATGGTGCTGAGGTCGGGTTTGGATTTGTGGGAAGACAGTCCGTGGAGCCATCTGTGGGACAGGAATATGTTTAGGATATACAGTAGTACTTCCGAGATCCCCTTCGCACCTATCACATCAAAAAATTGAGAAGGAAGACCACCGGTATTGTTGACAGAGTCGAGAACAATCAACATTAACTGTGTCCCTACACGCTAGACTGTCAAAACGTGTCCTGCAAACTAAGCTAGCAGGTGGTGCAACCTTACCCGGCGAGTGGTCGACGACCCATGTAAGATTATGTGGATCTGACCCAATGTTCTGTGTACGCGGTGTCCCCCCAGACTCGAAAGCATACATTGTATAAGGGGGGACTGTCACTGCCAATGGATCCGTGATTTGAGAGGACGGTAGTGCCTCAACGAACATTGTAACGCTTGAACAAGCGGGGAAATGGTCCATCTGCAGATTTCGTTAGAGATATAGACATAGCGTAAGTTACCATAACGCGTACGGTGGCATTGAATCCCCACAGGAAGGTGTTATTGAGTCCATCCGCAAAAGACGGTCGAGATATCAGAAGAAGGCTTAACACAAGTAGGACTGTCGCAACACGATGCATACACGAGTTTCGTTGACAGTCTCTAGTAGCAAGCTAGGCGGTGGGTTGAAGTAAAGTAGTAAAGGTCAGCGGAGCTGCGGGACATATACGAGACCGAAGACCTAGGAAAGGTCATTAGGGTCCGATATCGAATGTGCATCGAAATAGGCCTCGTTGCAAGTATGTAATAGTCCTGATTGGCCCCGTAAACCGACCGTAACGGTACGGCGGTTCTAAAGATGGTCAACGCAAGGCAGGTCAAAAATACCGTGTTGTACGTGACCTTCGGCTAGAATGAATGAGATGCGGCATGGGACTGGCTTTGGAAGGTCTGCTCCACGAGCTCGGACTGTCGTCTAGGGAAGGTATTCTCGGTGATATTTAGGTATAGCAAGACCCAGGGATACCGTCCGAGTAAGATGGAGCTGTTAAGGGGGTTACGTGACGAATACTCGATAACATAGCAGCGAAAAGTCAGTATGTTCGTTCTGAGAGGTCCTCTAAGGTTTCTTCTTGTGGAAATAGGTTTCCGTGAGTTTCTTTACGTATAGGTAAGAGTCTCTCTTTCGACTTGGCGCAGGAGTGTGGCCAATGTTAATATTTACTTCTGCTTGGCATTATTGATGAGATTAGATTAGATTCTCGTGTCAGATGGCTTCGCAGGATCGCGCTTGAATCCCTCTCGGAATCGCTAAAGACGTCAAAGTTGACATACTTCTCTCCGCTCGGAGGCCTTATCAGCCCTTGAAGATTATATTCTTTAACTACCATATACCGCGATTGAAGACAACATACTGCTGCTAATACTGCGCTTAGCTACTCAGTATCTTGAGACACCATCATGTCTCCACAAGCGATGCATTACATAGGAATACACAGTTTACAACACCATCTACCAAGATGCTTGACTCACAGGAGCACTGCTCATAGGTGTCAGAAGAAGCTGTGCTCACTGCTCGTTGTAGCAACGTTCACTTCAATCACTTGCCTCATCAATGAAACTCATAAGCGCATCAAAAGTATATCCGGCCTGTGAGTCCACGCTCGAGGGTATCGATCACGGCTACAGCTGCTTGCTGCTTGCATTTTGAGCAATTCTATTCCTTCCTTTGCAACGTTACGCAGGCGATTTATACCTGGATGATCCAAATCAAGATCGTCAACACTTTCGTGATATCAATCCTCAAAAATATCTCAAACAGCGATCTCCAGACTATTTTCATGCGGGCGCTGGTATTTTCTACAGTGGCCGTGCATTTAATATATTGAATCGGCTACGAAAATAGGATGCTCACTAACAGGTCCAGCCAATTTACACCTCTTCCTTCCTGACATCATTCTCCTCCTTAGCTGAAGCTACCCCTCGACCCTTTACACTCCTTTTCTCATTCTTGTCTTGCGTATCTGGTATCGCATCTTTGCCAACGGAGACTTGAGCGCTCGATGATCGCGGGATGCACGGCCGAACACACCCGTTACCAGTGCTTTTAGCGGCCTCACTCTTCCTATACGTCAAACACGCTACAGCGACTACTCTTAGCCAGACCTTTGTATGGGGAATAAACACGAATCTCACGGTAAGTTTTATGTTTTCGCTTGATGCAAACCGGCTAACATATGTATGTCCACAGAAAGTTACCTCGAATGGTCTCGCAGCCTGTTCGAGTGTACCCATTTATGTCGGTCATCGCTCTAATGACACTTCCACGGGAACACCACCATATACTATGTATGCGTTCGAGGTTGGCGGTTACCCTACTGTGCAAGCTATTGGGTCTGATCCGACTAACCTGACATGGGTCGTCGATCATGCACCAGGTACGTCTTCTATATTACCTGCAGGATTATTCACTTAACCTATAGGGCTACTCTGTTAGGCACGACATTGATGCTTTCTGTTCTCGATTCTCATAATAACACCGGAGGTGTCGATACTACATTCTACTATGTCACCGGTACAGTGGTTTATATTGCTCTGAAATTAAGTATCAATCCTAACTTTCTTTCAAGACGGTCCATCTACATGTCAGCCATCACATTCAGATTCGTCATCTCCATCTATCTCACCTAATGCAACCGACCAACTGGAAACTTGCCAACCATGGCGTCTGACACTCTCGGGCGGAGTGGAGCCATACACTGTATGGTTACCTAGCTTGAATAGTGATCAGCTCACAGTGGTCAACATGCTCAAAGGGAATAACGTTCTTATATATCCTAACCAGGCAGTGCCAAATTCGAAGTTAATGGGTGCGTGACATGTATTCGAAAGTTGACTAGTGCTGATCTCTTTCATGTAGCAAGCGTGTACGATTCGTGAGCCGTTTCTATCTCTTCAATCTTGGTATACCACTAACATGACAATGGCAGGACAGGAGCATGGGGGAAATCGACAGTAGCTGTGGCAACTACTGGGTCGAACGACACAACATGTTCAGGCTCGAGCATCGTACAAATAAGCACCATACAAACCACGGGAAGCAGACCTGTACATAGTGCTGTAGGGTTAAGGATAGGTGTGATCGTCGGTGTGGTTGCGCTGGTGTGTCTACTTACTGCGCTTGGGCTTTGGTATTGGCGTCGACGTCGGACTCGATCCAAAGGTGTATGGGATAAACAAGACATCCTGGGAAATGCATGGGAATCTCCCTCAACTTCTGCTGCTGAGAGACACCCTATGTACCAAACATCGTCCATGCCATCATCGGTCCCTCTTCTTGGTGAATCAAATTTCGCCGGCACATCCTCCGATATTTTCTCCCCCACGATATCACCCTTTGTTACTGGCATGAGTGGATCACCGTCATCTTCCAATCCCAACATCCCTATCATCGTAACGACATCGGACTCTTCTCCCTCCCGCTCTAAAATGGTCGAAGCACAGAACGAGCAGAATATGCACAGACACCCGTCGTCTGCATCGTCAAGTCAACTTCCTTCCTCCAGCTCTCAGATCCCATCTGAGAGTGTGCCGCCATCTATACCTGGAGCATATGACCAGCCTCCGGAATCCGACGTGCGTCCAAGTGTCATCATCCAACATCTTGACGGTGGATCAGGTGGTGTTCAGGAGCTGCCGCCACCTTACATGGATAGGTCTAACAGTGACTCGAATCCCACGGAGGGTCCAGTACGAGAGGAAGCCCCTCGGAGGAAGAATGAGACTCGTGCTTAGGTTGACTCTGCTTGTACTTTTTAGACAGTGTGTATACCTTTAGTTGTGAATACTGTGGACAGTTATGACGTTATGTTTCTTTACCTAGTGCTTAATTTTCACTTCTATCATATTGACTTTATACATTTTGCTCTCAATGATTAATCAATGAGCTCTGCAGAGTTTCATCGAGCTGGTTCGGGTCCAGATGTGATGCATTTGTCGGACTGCAACGACAAAAAATGAGTCGACCCAGGCTCGAACTGAGGACCTTCTGTGCACGCAATGTAAGACAGATGCGATAGCCAACTACGCCACCGACCCATAAAGAGACGATTGACATAAGTACTCATCGATGGTATGCGCGCTTTGCATAAAACGCGTCTGAGCGTCTACGCGACGCGACGTTCTCGTAATTGAGCGCTAATGCAAAGCATCCGAGTCGCGGTCACGGTAGTACGCTTTGACTCTTACTCCTTCGATCGAAGCTGAGCTGGGACCATCTCGTCCTCAAGAAAAGCTTGTGGTCTGCTGAATCTTAACTTATATCACACGACATATCATCTTGCTTGCTTTGAGACCTGTGTGCACCCCCTCGCATTAACTTCTCGCTCATCAAAGTCTGCAGTGGCTTACCCAAGTTCTCTCAACTGTGATTCATGTTGTGCATGACAGTATCATAAAGATTCTATAGAGAATGTGGGTTATTACCGGACCCTTTGATGGGAGTTTGAACACTCTGAATACCCGCAGTAAGCCATTGTCTTTGATTTCTTCATAACGGATTAACCTACGTTCTTTGAATGAACACAGAGACAAAGCTATTAAAGCCAGGGAAGACCTACGTTCTTGGAAGGAAGGACAGACCGCTTCTAGTGAATCACAAATCTATCTCCAGAGACCATCTTTCTTTTACTGTTGGCGACTACACAGTGGAGGATGCAGTGAGTATTGCCTATACCCTGCATGTGTATGTCCTCCAAACCATACTTTCTAGTCCAACCCAGACAAGAAACCGAGTCTAGAGCTTCGTAATTCAGGCTCTAAACCGCGAAAGGTTATTAGAGGTAGCGAGACTATACCTCTCAACCCTCAGTCATCTTGTGAGCTTCAGGACGGAGACGAGGCCTTCGTCTTGAACGATGCACCAATTAGGTATGTGTGTAATGTGTTCGAGTGGCTCACGATTGTCATATCTATTTCTTTTAGTGTAAAATGGGAAAGCGTCTGCTGTTATTTTCCCCAGGGTGCCTCCGAGATACCTTACGAGGGTTGTTCGAAACTAGGTTGGCCACACATACTTAGAAAATTTTGCTTCACTAATGCTTGCTTGCATCATGATAGGGATATCTTTGGTCGTCGTTCCTCATCCATCTGTTACTCATCATCTAACACCTACAATCACATTGAGCCCCCAAATTACGTCGTCGCTCTTGACTCTGGCACATCTCGTCCGACCAGACTGGCTCACAACACTTCTAACTCAAGGAATCGCTCCCTATGTCACTCAGGACACTCAATTAGACGAGCCATCTCCTCCTGAACGACCCTCTCGTCTAGAAGCTAACTTCACGTTACCCCGACTCTCCGATTACAAACCGGATTTCTCACCTGCGATTCCCTCCTCAATGCGCTCTATGAAAATCTGGGAACCAGACGAATCTAGATTGAATTTCTTCAGTGGAAAGAGATTTATTTTTGTCGGAGAGAAAGGGAGGGAGGTCAGCTTGGATTTGAGGGAGGTGGTAAAGAGAGGTGGTGCCGAGTACGAATGTTATGCTGTCGAGGGTGGACGAAGTGGGCTCCATGCTGTCCTTGCTAAGGGCCAAGGGAAGGGAAAACCTTTAGTGCTTGTCGCTGACGAACATGCGATGGGCATTGCTGTTGGGCAAGAACAATGGATGGACATTGTGAAGGAGGCCGCCGAGTAAGCCGGCTTGACGGTATACGTTCTTGCGACAAGAAATACTGACAGTTATATCCCTCAGGTATGAGTTACTCTTCATTCGTCCTGAGAAGATCACTCAGGCGGTGATGCATATCGACTTGTCCTACGTCGATTGCACACTCAAAGAACGGGTTGATGGTACATGGTTTTAAGCTTTTATTCACATACTATATTCGTCGCTAACATTTCAATTTAATCTTCCAGATTCCAATCGTTTTGCATCACCTATTCCAGATGTCATTCCGAACACTCACCCTGATGAGCCTTCCTTGCCACTCACACAAGCCCCTCCTCGAACCATAACTCCTCCACCAGCACCTTCGCCTTCTCGTCCTCCGACCAGAAAACGGAGGCGTGTTGTGCAACAGAATTCGAGCGACGATGAAAACTCTCAAGCAGCAAAGTCGATAACACCGTCTGGAGCTGTTTCACAAACGTTTGCCGAGTCAGCGGAATACAAGGAGACAAGTCAATCGCAAGCCGTTGAGCCGCAACCAGAGGAAAAGAAAGAGGAGGATCCCCCGAAACCTGCAAGAAGAGTATGTATGGTTATTCATTTCTGCTAGACTTGCCTAAGAAACGTTCGACAGCGACCGACACGAAGGCCTGTAGCTCCGATACGTATAGATGAAGATGACGATTCTGTCATACAGGATGGGGAGACTTCGGCTGCTGAGAGCATTGCTCCTCCACCTCCTCCAGTGAAACCTCCTTCTAGTCGGGTAAGTCGATATATAAGTGCACCCTATCCGGTTTCATTGAAGTAAAGTTCTAGGGTCCACCCGGGCGGCGTCCGAAACGTCGTCCAATAGGCGAAACACCTGCCTTGGATGAAGATTACTCTGTAGATGACAGCACGACCGCAAGCGTTGCTGAAACGCCTTTGAAACGATTCAAAGCTCTTTACGAGGAGAGCGACCCGGATCGCATTGCTAAATCTGGTGTTGATGAGTACATGAACATGTACAAAGGCCTAGATTCGACTGGTAGCATGACTCAGAGCGAAAGCGTGCCGATTGGTGGTTCAAGAACTCAAGCGGGGTTGGAAGCTGTGCCCGAAGAAGAGGAAGAGCAGTCAACTATGGTTAGATCTCAGAACGTTGTTGGTAGCGAGAGTCAAACTCAGACGACCGGTTCGAGGTTGAAACGGAAGACTAGAGCAGATAATGCCGATGAAGATGTGGAAATGGAAGAGGCAGAACGACCTAGGGTCAAACGACGTGCGGTGGAAGGTGTCCATGCCGTCGAGCACACAGCTGGGACCCAAGCAGAGGCGCAGACACAGGCAGAAACTCAATCAAAGTCTGTCAAACCTGTCTCGAAGGTATTCGACAGTAGGATGGCTGTTGAAACCGAGAAAGCTGAAAAGGTGGAGAAGACTCGAAAGCCTGCTTCTAAAGCTGGAGCTGCACCTGGTAATCCTGACAAGGACGAAGCATTCCTCAAGGCTCTTGCGTCTACCAAACGAGGCAAAAAGAACGAAGATAAGTTTGATAGGGAGTTCAACAATCTGAAGATTTCGAAGCCCGATCTTAGAAAAGAAGAGGTGGAAAAGCAGTGGGATGTTCTGGAAGAGTTTGGGGATGATGGTGATCTAAGAGGAAACTTTATGGTCGTTGTTGAGATGGAGGTGCCTGAGCGACAGTCTAGAGGTACTAGACGATATGATGAAAGTCGTATGGAATGGGACGGTCGACCGGATTTCAAAAAGTTCAAAAAGGTGATAGCCGTTTCATCCTGCAACGAGTTTATATTGAACTATGATTCGATCTCTAGAAATCTCTCACTGAAAAGAGACAGAAGGTCGAACTTGTTCTTACTAGTGCTGACTACGATGACACATTCGATTCCCGTGAGTACAACGTTTCATCCGGCTATAGTTGGTCTCTAACATGTATACCCCCTTCAGAGCCCAACGACGATAGTCAATCCAAGGGCAATGATGATCTATTTGACATGAGCATCGCTCCGGGACGCAAACCCCCAAGTCGATCTCGAACTACACAACCAATTGTGATAGACGAAGATGATGAAGTCGTACTGAAACCTCGAAGCAAGAGACAAAGTCAACGTGAACCTTCGCCCGTCCACGTTCAGCTCCAACCCTTGAACCCAAATCGTAGGAGACAGCAGAAGAGCAAACCCATCGAACCCCTTTTCTTAGAATCTGATGAAGATATTGAGATGAGGGATGATGATGATGACTATCGCGGTGCTTCAAATAAGGGATCGAGTGGTATCATTAATCTCTCGGATGATGATATCGACGATGGGACAACGGTGCCGAGTCAGGAGACCACTACGAGGCCCACGAGAGCATCATCGAGAAAGAAAACTACGATTAGGGTGCAGGAGGATTCTGATGATGATGTTCAATTCAAGGGGTTTGGACGAAAACGCCGCTGAATCTACGTACCACTGTGTTTTGAATTTACTAATGATATTTCACGATTGGAGTCTTTTGGTTTTCATCTACATGAAATTTTATTGCACCGAACTTGAACGGAGAAAAGAAAGAATACACAGGAAAGCCAGTTTCTCCTAATCTATAATACAGTAACGTTTCAGTTTACTTCGATCTATATGGGTCTGCGGGACAGAGGTTTATATTTATATTAGCGTGACGTACGTAGAGATACAGTCAGATCGACAAGCTTGTATCAAATGTTTCCGTGTCCCAAGTCAGAACTTGACAGCTCAGCGGGGTCTGGATCGACAACGACTTCTGTTTCTTTGTGGACTGAGATCTTCACCATAGCGGAAGAAGACCCGGGTTGCAATCGTATTGTAGGGTGGCTTGACCTGGAGCCTTTCTCCGACTGATCATCTGCGTAGACGTGATTGTCATCAACTATCTCGAGTGATTCTGATGATTGCGAATGAATCAGAGTCAGATGGGCAGATCGAGGTACAATGTTGTGCGGGAAGATAGTCGCGGAAGTAGGGTCATCTTGAATTTGACCAAACCTTAACAGCCGGAATACCCGACAAGCCATGATATTTTGGAAGGCTAGGCTGAACACACCAGCTGTCATGCGGACAAGGGGTGCTTGGGTGCTCGAAAGTATGATGGCTACCACGACGATATTGACACCAAGTGTCGTGCTGATGATGATTTGTCGGTAATTTTATCTGAGAAGGTAGAACGAGATTCTTACATATAATAAACCTGTCCAGATCGAAGAAGTGACCTCGCGACGTGGCTTATGTCTTCAGCAAAGATGATGAAGTTGATCTTTTCCCCAAATGACTTCGCCTGGTTGTTCAATGCTACGCGGGCGGTGATTGCAGACACTACGGCAGTGTCAAAAATAGCAAGTGCTATGAAAGGTATACAACTCCAACGATGAAGTTGAGGTACCCAACACCATGCCCA